ATGCACTTTTCCCCCTTTACTATGAAGTTAGGTTACCCGAGCTTCCTAAAAAAGTATTGTAAAACGTATAAAAAAAAATTTTTTTATCAATAGGATCGCTTGTGTAACATGGACGGTCCTACCTCGATCATGTATTAGATTTATTTTTTTTCATTTCACTCGCTTCGCCACAATGCATGTAGGCGTGTGTGACAAAAATAAACGTGTTCTGTGCTTGTAAATATTTCGAATATAAGAAATCTGAGAGCAAAAATGCTGGGACTTGTCTAGGATCCTCTTTGATAGCATCATATATTTCATTCGCTTCTCTAGCGTTAACCTGATTTTCTCAATAAAATTTTAAGGCGCAGTTGTTGTATAACACGCACGTGATTAAAATTCATAGATGTACGTGTGTAACTGATTTTTAAATATAAATTCGAAAAGGATCAATTAATCATTTCTTTACTGACTTTCTTCCTCATTATGTATTCTAATTACTTTTGTGAAACGCTACCGGAAAATTACAGCTTTCTTGGTTTCTACAAGTATCGTCATCAACAACCTGACTTCACCTTCTCGTTTCAAAAGGAGTCCCGCAAACTTAGTAGCGATCTCGAGGAATTGATGAAAGAAAATTCAGAAGCAGTTAGAGTTTACGCAGGCCGGTTACTACAGAATCATAAGGTTGTTCTTTCCTTTTATGCTGAGGGTTTCAAAACGTGGTTACGCGACTAGGGGGGACATCTGCGTTTGGCCCTCTGAAGATCTGCGTTTCGTCGTGTATCACACAACTACGGTGAATATCTGCGTTTATCCACCTTATGGTCTGCGTTCCGTTGTGCGACCCTCAGCTATAATCAGTTTTATTTTTTTATTACCGCTCTAAATATTATACTTACTCCTATTGATCTTCAACTATATAAGAATCATCGTGAAAAATATCCTGATGTTCAGATGTTTTGGAATGACATAGAGGCATCTGTCGCCAATTCGAGTCTACAATTAGATAAGGTTTATTACTTTCCCGTTTCTTTTTAGTTCTTATCCCAATTCAGACTTGTATTGACTAAATATCCTGACTAGGTAAATACGGCTCGAACAGTAATGCATGGCACCGAGAGGTTGATCAAAACCGCCTTCAACGAAGTTGATAGCACACTGAAAACCAATGTTTCTAATAATGGACCGGTATATATTGCATACATTCTTTTTTTGTGCCATTGCATCTGCACCTATTCTTCTATAAATACTCATTAAGAATCCCTATTCACTACATCATTCACGGATGAATACGAATTTCAAGAATGAAAGAAAACGACCAGTCGAAGAGCCCTCTCCTGTTACTACACCTCCTAACCTTCGCAATCACTCTCCCCCTCCTTTTAACAGCATGAATAATTCTTTCAACGGAGAATCAACCGAAATTGAGAAAGAGTCAATTGAAGCCTCTCCAGTAATTTTTTTTCGTTTTGTTTAGCTGTATGATGTATATAAGTTTGTTTCTAATCTGCATTGCGATATTGCTTGTTTTAAGGAATTAAATGTCCATGAATCCGATATAGAGATTACGCATGAAGATTACAATGAAAATCCTTTCGATGTAGGAGATGGATCAAGAAATCATAAGGTTAATATTAATAAGTATTAGTTGCAAATCAATTATTAAGCAGAGAAAAAAAACGGAATTTTATTCACTGAATATATCTTTTTATTAATTAATAATTAATTCAATTCTTAATTATATAGTTCAAAATTATTCTATCATGGAAACATGCAATCAATAATGTCAATACAAACAATATCTCCGGGAATGACGTAAGTATCGAGCAACATTATGATAGTCTTTTCCTGATATATAGTAATAATCCTTTCTCACCTATAGTGGGTTGTAGATGGTCACAACATTTCTCTTGATTTCCGTAAATTTCAATTAGCATCAATAAATCTTTTAGAGACTAATCCAACCTTTTTATACGTAAAAGATATGGATCGGATTCTGTGTTTTTTATGCAAATAAAATCTATTTTAATATCTAATTTTTGTATATGCCTGCAGGTGTTTATCATCTATAATGTATTGCAATGAAGTCAAGCCGGAATTTGTAACATGTTCCGAAAAAGTATGGAATAAAATTCGTCCAAGACTCCTAGTGCCAAAGATGTTGCCATCTGTCGTACATTTAATAATAATTGAATATAATATGGTAAGTTTTCATCAACTTTCTAACAAATAATTGGCAAATTTATCAATTTGTTATATTTTGTGATTAGCTTTTAAACGACAAACAGTTATTGGACACAAAGTGGCATGAGAATTGGGCCAAATGGAGTACACTGTCAACAGACGAGGATAAATCCATCTTCGATTGTGCGCAGGAAGTCACGAAAAATTTGTGAGTTCTAAATTATTGAGAACATCTTTGTACGTTGTTGATATTTACTGTATGTCTGTTGCTTTTCAGTTTTACGTATCTGACTTCAGTGAGTTTCGATGAGGATAAGAAACTGGACGAAGATACCTTCGTTCACCGATATTGTCATAGACTTCTTGAAGAAATTTTTAGTAAAGATGATTTTACATCGATCTGGTAAGTTCCATATAAAATTATTACAATACACTATATAGTACAGTATATCGGCCTATGCTCATATTTTTTGTCATCGGAACAAAGGGCAAATGGTGAGTCTGAAAGTTCGAAAGAAAGACGAATACTAGACGGAAAGAATCACGGAAGAAAACCGGACTTTCGTATACTCTCAAAGATAGATGATGTAAATACGGAATTTTTATTCGGCGAAATTAAACCTCCAAACAATTCAACTTCCATAAACAAAAGTATAGTAAAGTTGGCGGAATTCACGAAAGGTTCTTTAGATCTTATTATTTATAGTTATGGTTACGTTGACGGTCTGGAAACATTTGGAGTATTGATTCATGGTAAGTTATCGTTCACTATTATTATAATTATGATGTTTTAATGCCGAGCTAATTAGATTAAATCCAACAGGAAGCGAAATAAAGATATTTAGTATGGACTTAGCTTTTGACGGTTTATACCGTTTCAATCAATTATCAAAAATCTTGTTACCAACGGAAAATGCGAATTTTCTAAATATCATTACCGTAATATCTACTTTTTATTCCTTATTGGTAAGAGTCTTACTTTATAGTTCAAACAAGTTGCTTTGCAGTTTAGTCGCTAATTATTTTTATTATGTAGGAAAGGATAAGATCTACAATTGTTACTATGAATTCATCTCAACCATCATCCTCCGGTCACTTGTATTGTCGAAAGTCGAATTCGTCACCTAAAAAAATACGTATACCGATAGTTAGAGCTTAGTAGAAATTCAAATGTTGGCTTGAAATTATTGCATTTATGTTCATGTAACTACTTATAATATTGACGTACGTGTGCGCTGTATGCATTCAATATTAATTAATAAAAATATTACCATCCAAAATAATCATTTAAAGCAATATTCACGATATTATAATGTATTGTAAGACAAATGCATTGTATTTTGATTATTTTTTCTGTTTACCTTTTGCAACCTTATATGAACACTGAAGCATGACCAATGTAACATATTTTTGCACGCGATTTTTTACATTTCATTTTGATCGGGCTGAGCAATGAAATTATTATATCTTAAAAAAATAATGAAACACAGATATTTAAGTTTTATGTTTATTCTATGAGACCCAATTCTCGAAGATGCTCTGGAATAACTGCACATGGGTTTTCGTAATACCAAACATACCTTAAGGCAATGCAGTTTTCTTCACATAATTCTTTCTTGAGTTGATCCCGTACTTGCTGTTTGATAAAATTATTGGGATCTCCTCCGTGAAAGAATTCGTGATATTTTTCGTGTTGTATGCCTTGTACTTCGGTTGCAAAGCCATATTGCGGATAAAATATATCGAGTTCTAGTCTATTTGGATATTCTTGTGTTTTTAAGAATTCGGGCCTGCGGATTAGTGAAGGGGCGCCAAGGTATTTTGTTAAAATCTCATGACATAGCTTTTCTCTCTTATATTTTGGACAGAATGGACACCAAGTTCCTTGTTGAATACTATTAGGAATAGCTTCCCATCGATGTTTGTTTTCACAAACCCATTCTAGCTTTGTGTGTGAATTATAGTATCGATCTGAAAGACAATCTCCATTTTTTTTTAGTGCAAGTTTACGCATATCCTCAATTGTTTGATAACGACCAATGCAAAATGGACACCATTGCTCTCTATTTTTAATGTGGTAAAATGTATTTTGCCATTGATGGTTGAATTGGCAACGCCACATAAGCAGTTCGTCTATATTTTTATACTCAGTTGAAAGACATTCCCCTCCCCTAGATAGTGCAATTTGCTTTGCATCCTCAAGGGTTAGTTTTGCAATACCTGCGCAATATGGGCACCATGTACCAGAATTTTTAATATGTTTAAACGAACTATTCCAAATATGACCTTGATGGCATTTCCATGTCATCGGAGTTTTGGAATTACTATATGCAGTTGAAAGACACTTACCGTTTCGGCTAAGTGCAATTTGCTTGGCGTCTTCAAGAGTAAGACGGGTATTTCCTGCACAATATGGGCACCATTTACTATGATCTTTTACATTGCTAAGAGATGCATACCACAAATGACCTTTAATGCAACTCCATAGTAATGGCAATCGATTATTAATGTACTTTTCTGAAAGACATTGACCACTTTTTAATAATGCAATTTGTTTAACAACCTCAAGAGTAAGTTTTATTTTACCTGCACATTGCGGACACCATTGTCCTAAATTTTTAATTCTAGAAAGTGGGGCACTCCATACATGGTTCTTAGAACAGCGCCACATTAATGGAGTTTTGTTATCTTTATATTCAGTTGAAAGACATATTCCATCACGTTCTTTAGCAATTATACATGCATCATTTAACGATAGCTTTTTCATTGTTTTTTTTGACGTAGCTGAATCTCTTTTCGCAGATCTAATAGAGTATTGAATCTTAATCTAATTGCATGCGGATCATCTTCTGGCTTGTTTAAATCAAACACAATAAATTCCCCCTTGCGAAGGTATTTGTTAATAACCATTGAAGCATTTTTAACATCATCAGTATATTGCTGAAGAATTTTAGAAATCTCTTCACGTGAACTACCAGAGTTAAACATCACTAGAAGGGAGATATTCTCACGAATAATAATTGGTACATGATGATATTTCTGAGTAACATAGCATGGAGAAATATTTCGATGACGCCCATGTGTAAAAAATGGAATTATTCGATTTTGGATAGATTCAGGAGCAACACATACATCCTCAAAAATGATTACGGTGCTCCTCTCTGGTGAAAATGATTTCACACTAGAAATTTGTTCTGGCGATATGTAGTTGAATCTAATATTCTTGTAATAAGGTGCTTTGGGATTACTTGCTATTTTTCCATACATATATCTAACGAATGCCCATTTCGGCTCATCAGGATGGTAACCGCAAACTATCAAATTATCGTATCTAATATATCTGGATCCACCTTTTTGTCTTTTATATATATGTTCACATTTATCTCCAAGAACAAGGTTTGCTAGTAAATTGGTCTTACCTGTACCACTTCTTCCGCTGACTATCATGCTGAAAGGCCATGTCATTGCCGGATGTCTAACATTTTGGGATGATTCATGCTTTGTGGCCTCATCCATATCCATAAGGTAGAGTTTCATAGGTGGTAGTTCTTTTTTTTGGTTCTTTTGTATAACAGATTGGGAATCCATAACTCTGTTTTCTATTTAATGGTATTTTATAATTTGGAATATTTTTTTCTTTATTATAGGGCAAAATAAAAGAATATAGATAGGAGGATATACACCATAGAAAGTATATAATTAGTAATATTATTATTATAAAGACCGCATTCTGCTGAAAGAAGGAATTGAGTGATACTGAGGTTATTTTGGGGCTAGTGATTTCATTACCTTTCTCTAGTCCACTATCACCTCCAATCACTTCATTATACTTCGACTCACTGGATACTTTCAAAATCTGCTCTGCTAAATGAGCATTAGCTTCTTGAAGAAGGGAATCTTTCTCTAATAATGCCTTTTGTGCTGAAGCTAAATTATCCTTTATCCACATTAATTTATTTCTTTCTTTAGACAGAATTTCTTCTAACTCCATTTTTTTATAATTTAGGGTAGTGTTTTCAGCAGATAGTAATATCCTTTTTTGTTCGAATTCACGCTCAAGAGATTCCATTTCTGATAACTCATTCTGTGCTAAAGAAAGATCTTGCTCCAATTCTTTTACTCTTGATTGGAGAGCCTGTATCTCTTCCTCCATCTTGGATTGGAGGGCTTGTATCTCCTCCGATTTTATAGAAAATTTGCTTTCGGCATCTGCAAAAGAAATATCCTTGTGAGTGATCTGAAGCTTAAGGTTATTTATCTCTGAATATAAATGTCTTATTTCATCTTCAAGCTTGGAGTTATCTATTTCTGATTGTAACCGCATTGTTTCTTCTCCAAGCTGGTGAACACGATCAGAGAGCTTCTCATTATCTTTTTTGGATTTATCAAGATCGTCCTGTATGCACTTATTTTCTTTTTTGGATTTATCAAGGTCATCCTGTATGCGCTTATTTTCTTTTTTTGATTGATTTAGAGAATCCTGTATATGTTTTTTTTCTCTATCTAAGATATCATAATTATCTGCAAACTGATTTCCCCAATATATAGCAACTTCACGATCTTTTTTTGCACAAAAAAGTTGCTCTTCAAGTTCTGTTTGGCTGGAAGAATAATAATTAGCTGGAGTATCTCCAAGTTTATTACCATTATCCAGATCTTTTAAAGTACGGATCTGGTATATTTTATTAGTATTTTTTTTTTCTTTAGGTGAAAAAAAAATTAGATAGATATTGCTAGAATTTTTGGCATTGGAAGCAAGATATTTTTTATAGATATTACTATATTGATACACATTGGTGAGCATTGAAGCTTATTAATATGCATTGGTGGGCATTGAAATATATCAATATATATTGAAAAGTATCAATACACACTGAAAAAATATTAATGCTTATTGAAGAGTATTGATACGCATGCATTGATATGCATTGATATTTTATTGAAAAGCATTAATATTTTTTTTCTAGTATAATAATCTAGTGAAGATGGTAGCCCGTATTCATGATACATATTATGATGCTAAGGCAACTCTATTATCAGATGATGCTATCAAAGAAATTAGAGAATCCAGAGGTAGGATACCCAATGTATCAAAAAAAATGGCTAATAAATTTCATATCGGACCTAAACGTGTTTATGAAATATGGGATAATAAAGAACGCCTCCAGCAAGGGGCCATTCTATTTCAGCCTGTTTTGGATGAAAATTTCAAGACTGATAAGTCAAAACAGAATCTTGAAGCGGTACCACCAGTACCATCTACGTCCACTCCGACTATGAAGATTCCAAAAAAGAATGGTCAAAAAAAGAAGGTCTCTCTTGAATTAGAAATAAGACAAGAAAAAAATGAGAACAAAGATAACATGCTCTCTAATAATTTGCTGGATGAATTCCAAGAAAAAAGGTTGAAATCTCTTCTTGAAAACTTAGTCAATCGTGGTGAAAAGCTTAAAAGCTCAGTTGGTACTTTTGATATCTCTTCTATATAAAGATTCACATGTATCAGCAAAAAACTTTCCAGTTCTTAATGCCAAGTCAAGCTATTTCTCAGTTTTCAAGAGATGCTTTTCAAGATCTTCACATTTTTTTTTAAGTCTTCACTAATCGGGCTAGAGGAATCGGTGGATACTTGGTCCTGCTCCTCTTTTGGCAGATCGTTTATTTCTGGAGTCTTGCTAAAAGTTGGAATAATGTAAGTCTTCCCATGTAACTTCATTCGGAATTAATTTTTATTTGGATCAAGAACACCTTGAACTTTTCGAATCCATGTCATACCTAAACATAATATTGGTTTGGGTTCCCCATTATTAATACAAGCAAAATTTCCAGTAGCTGTAACAATCTTTCCATCCTTGTCTTTTACACTAATTGGCACATCTGTATACTATCCCAATGATTCAGTTATATGTTTGGAATTACTCTTTATAGCAAAGTCAGATGGCTTGTCAGCTTTCTACCCCAGGGCATTAATTGTTGCATCATTCACTCCCCCGAATTCACTTGCACTATCTAAAAAAGAATTAGTGATCAATAGATCATTTATATTACAATGCAAGTATTGTAATGATGAAAACCACTCATCTGATTTTGATTCTTTTTCCCGGACTATATGAGACTGACACATTTTTCGCATGGCTGGCGAAAGCTTCAAAAATAATTCATTATATGTTTTCAGCTGGTTATTATTCACTATTACTGTACCTGTTTTTTTTTACCGGTAGATCATACCACCTATTCTCTTCCTCATTATAATCTTCATTTTCCTCAGCTGAATCGGGAGGCGTACATTGAAGGACTATTGGTTTAAGTGGCGTAAAATAAGACCGAGTAAAATTAGACTGAGCTATCAGTCTATTTGGACAATTTCTTTTGCTATAGCCCATCTCTCCACAAATATCACATTTTCGTATGTATGCCTTTCTCTGAAATTGATCGGCTAACTGGTTTATAGTATCCCGAGTTTTATTAATCCCTTCTTCCAATCTATCAATTCTAGTAGAGACATTGCTTCGCTGTGGACGAGGTCTTTGAAAAGGCTTTATAGAATAATCTGAGTCTAAATCATCTTTACTAATTATACCTAAATCTTTAAAGAATTCTGCTACGTAATAATTTTTCATACCTTCTTCTGTTTTTAGTGAAGTTGGCGGGCCTCTCGGCTGTCTAACTGGCTCAACAGCTTGCTGGGCCATTTGTGATTGGAAATCAGTTTTTTGTTTTTCTAATAAAGACTGGTATTCAGTTTTTTGCTGTGCCAGGGTGTTTTGGATTGCTTTTTGCATATCTTCTAAAGAAATTCCTTGCTGTTGAGGAGCTGAAACAGGTAAGGGTTCATATATTTCTCGAGATGCTCGCTGAGAAACTAATGGATCAGGTATTCTATCTCTTTTATGTCTAGCTATTCGGCGTAATTCTATCTCATATAGCTTTTTAGCTAATTCATCTAATGGCAAATATTCGCCGATATCCTCAGCTTTTTCAAGCCATGGAAGTGGAAGAGCATCTAAGAACTTCCTACGTAATTCTTCGGGTCTATAGTTGGCTCGTTTACCTATTTGTAATATTTTTCTATATAATTCATCTATAGTCATGTTCCCCTTTCTGATTGTTCCATATATCATATCCCGAAGCTCTTCTTCTACTGTAGGAAAATGAGTTTTTAACCACCATACGGCTTGACCAAAACGAATTCCAGGTACAATTACGGTATTACCAGCATTAGCATTGGGAGCATTTGGAGCATTATTAGTAGGTTGGCCTCCTGCTATACGCCAGTCTTCATCCTAAGGACCTTCTATGGCTCTTAACTTAACTATTGCATTTCCTGGCTGATTAAGGGCCTTGTTTATTCCACTAGCTCCTATCTGAATAGCTGTACGTCCATTTATAGCTACTATATTAGCTTGCCCCGTATTATCAAGTAAGTTTGCTAATTCCCAATTTTGCTTTGTAATAATTTCTTCATCAAACCATTCTAAAGTTCTTCCTCTCATACAGCCTCTTAAATATCCCATAGCTACTTCTCTTCCCATTGGTGGACCTCCCACATTATCTGCCGGATTTACACCTTGGTTTTGCAAGTATAATCTTAGCTTCGCAAGAAAATCTGGGATATCGTCGCCCCAGTCAAAAAATGGTTGCGGTATTCCTGCCATTCCTATTCGTTATATATTAGGTGGGTTATTCTGTAGCGCAAAAATTTGTTGATTTAAATTTAAATTATTCTGGCGCTCTGCATGAGTTTTATTTTTCCATTTGGTGTATCAATTATTTGTAAGATTTAAGAGATGTGTAGCAATTGCTCCATCTGTTCTACAATCTTGTAGATAGAGGATATTTCGCTGATATAATAACTGGAAGGCAAAATTTTTACATAGCAATTCACTGATATGGGTTTGTTTTCTTGCCATATTATCTATCATTCTATTCACTTCATTTTGTGCATTAGTCCGTAATTGATGAAGATCAAGCAATGCCTGATCTCGCTCTTGCCTATATGTATCTTGGTGCCACCGTTCATTTACCAGATCTTGTTGCAGGTTAGTATATTTTCAACGTATCTGTCTTGTTGATCTTTTAATTTGATTTGTTAAAATTGTTCTACATATTGTTGTATTATCTAGGGATCGGTCTATAGCATCGGCCAATTCAGCTATTGTATCCATATTATCATCA